AAGGAGCTGCCCCACGGAGCCCCACCCCGGCTCGTTGCTGGCGGCGCACAGCGCTTGAGGCGGATGACGGGGAAGGGGCAGGGCAGGGCAGGGCTGCGCTGCCACAACGAGGGTTGTGCCCCTCGTGGATCCCCGCCATCCACCCCCAGGCAAACGTGTCAAGCAAAATACCGTCATGTGCTGTGCTCTTGCACACATGCTGGGGGTTGCCTACCCCTGTTTTAGAGCACAGTTAACTCAGCTGGGTCAAGCTCTCATCTCATCTCCTGTTTCACTGGTCAGGACAGAGGCCCTGGCCGGGGAAACCAGGGGGAGTGCGGGGCTGTCGCTCCTCCATTGGCACGTCCTGGCTGAGTTTCACTGGTCAGCATCTGCAGGCTGTCTCAGCTGATTCGGGGGCAGTGGGCATTGGCTGATGCGCTCTTTCTGGTGTCCCTTCCACATCCCTTGTTATTAGTTTACGAGCTCGCTCCCCTTCCTGGTTTCTTTTTATTTGTCCCAAGCAATCAGTTGATGGGTCTGCAATGGTCTCCCTTATTAAGGCAGGCTTATACAGGAACTTCTCACTTAACATCATCCTGGTTACCGGTTTGTTATATTACGTTGCTGATTTGTTAGAGAAGGTACTTGTTTAAAGTCGCACAATATTCAGTTATAACATTGTTTGGCCATCTCCTGCTAATAGGTAACTACTGTGATGTAATTGGATTAGCACAAAGTCATGTCGTTTAAACTAGTGTTTTTCAAGAACATAACTATGACGTTAAGTGAGGAACAGCTGTAGTATTTTATGATGGGTATAAAGTCACTTTCCTTGGTACATTGAATAGGCCTTTTTTGCTGGCCAGGTGGACACTTGACTGGGATGGTTAAATCAGAGACCATCCCGCCATGAGTGGAGGGTTGTACTAGGTGTCCTCCTGAGGTCCCTTCCAGCCCCACTTCTCTCTCTCCTGCTTCTATTTCCCCCTACAGAACTGGTCTGATAGAGCAACTTCTCTTCCGCATTTGACTGATCAGGCCATTACCTTCCAATCTTGTTCTAAGCAATCAAGTATCTCTCTTTAAAAAAAAAAAAAAAAAAAAAAGCATGTTTCTTTCTAAGGTGGTTTCAAAGCTAGGAAGTTGAATGAGCCCAGCCAGCTCCAGAGATCATCAGATCTCAGTGGGCCACCACTGGGGGCCAGGCATGCAGATTATCATTGTTACTCAACATAAATGTTGCTGGCATCCAGTTAAACTAAAGATGCTGTTTGGTTGTCTTGTAACAGTAAACATTTGTTTTCATTTGGAAAATTAGATGCGTTTCTGACATGTTCATGCACATGTCCCTGGTTTTCAGAAACAAGGTTGTTGGGTTTTTTTGCCTAGGGACTGGAGAAAAGCTAATTCTTACCTTGATCTAAAGGTGATTGCTGTTAATCTGGACGAAAATATTTTCAGCATCAAGTTCGGAAACAACTCCCATCTTCTCTAGCATATCTGTATTGCTTCACGTGCCAGGGTTGCTAATTACACAGCTGTATTGCTGTTGGCCACCTCAAATGACTGGTTTATTAAGTAATATGACATTCTAAACCATGTACTTGAGAACGATTATGACACTTTAGGCTATATATTATGAGGCACAACCCAAACCTGTCTTAACCAAATAAGAGCAATTATTACTTTACAACTTGCCTTGAGTTCGCTATTTCAATTATGAAATGGAGTTTAAAGTAACTTCCTCAGCAATTAAAGCTGTTTACTTAGAGTTGAAAGATGTTTTTCATTAAAGTGCCTTGCTTACTAATCCTCTGGAGTAGGGAGGCTCAAGAGGTAGCTTGTCTTCAATGAAAACTAATCATTTTCTTCCTTCATGGCACACATTTATAAGCAGTTTAAAAATGGGATTTTTGCCATAAAATGTTGCTTTCTTTTAATGTGGGTCTCTAGTTATATGGCTGAATTTCAAAATCCCATTCTTTTGGGATGTTGCTGATGGTTCTTTTTCTTTCCTCAGATTAAGAGCACTATTTTAGAATTGTGAGTGAACTGTAGCGTAACTGCAGGTCTATCTTAACTCCTTCAGTTATGGGAAGTTATTTTAGACAAGTATTTCTCAATTCTGCCGCAATAAAAGGAAATGCTTCACTCTACTCAGTGACATCCATCATGTTGACTCTGTTGTGTGACAGAATATATACAGATAAGGATTGTTTGCCTGCTGAAATGAACCAAGCTCTGGAGTTAATCGATCTTAGTTAGTTAGTACACAGCATACTTGAAGGGCCATATACTGTGGAGAGAACATAAGCAACGAACTTAGAGCAGGGATGCTCAAATCCTGGGCCTCTGATCACATCAAGCCCATGTAGCCATGCCATCCAGGCCACAGGAATCCCCATTGGACTGAAAATTTGGTGGCAAGGGAGCAGTGGCAGCAACTGCTACTTCCCTGCTGCTAAATTTCCAGACCTATAGGGAGCCCTGCAGGCCAGATGGCATGCCAGATAGGTGCATCTAGGGCCAGATCTGGTAGAGGTGCACCAGTGCATCAGTCCATATTGTATCGGCACTGATATTGTATTGGCACTGATAAAAGGAAAATTGACATTATCAGCAATCAGCTTTTTTTTTTTTTTTGCTGACGTGGCTGATAATGTCGCTGATAAATGCTGCTTGCAAGCATGCAGCCAGGAATGCAGCCCAGCAGCTTGGAGACCAATGTGCAGCTGGTAAGTCTGTGGTGGGGGTAAGGGTTATCGGGTGGGGGCAGATCGAGGCCCCCACAATGAGGGAGGGAATGGGGCAGGGACAGGCACTGCCCAGCCAGGGTAGTGTGGGGCTTGGGATGGAGCCAGCGGCTCATCCAGAGGCTGCAGGAGGGGCAGCTCCTGCCTCTGCGTGCACTCCTGGGGGAGGCATGGGGGGCATGTGCCCCCCATATCTGTGCACAGGGAGAAGACAGGCTGCGCACTTGGGGCCAAGGCTGCTCCTCTTCCTGGCAGCTGCGCTCAGGGCAGGTGGGGCAAGGCAGGCGGCAAAGGTGCTGGGAGGGGGGGGCTATGGTAAATTTTGGGGTGGCTCTTGCCCCCCCATAGTCGTCTCATTCCCGCGCCGCCGTTGCCTGCCCCACTTCACCCAGCCCTAGCACAGCCGCTGGGAAGAGGCTGGAGTAGCCCCAGCTCTGAGCACACAGCGAGCAATCCACCCCCACCCCACGCACAGATCCAAGGGGGCACATGCCCCCATTATTCCCCCAGGGGTGCGCGCAGCGGTGGGAGTTGCCCCACCCTTCCCCACCCCCTGGATGAGCCTCCAGCTCCATCCTGTGCCTTGCCTCAGCCCAGCTGGGTAGCACCTGTCACTACCCCAGCCCTATTCCCTCCTTCACTGCTGGGGCCTCAAACTATGCCCCCCCCCCATACCCCTTCCCTCCCTCACGCCCCTTCCCCCAACAGACTTAGCAGCTGAATGCTGCTCTCCAAGCTGCCGGGCTGCATGTCAACAATTGGATTGGTATCCAGCAATCTGGCTGGTCAATAATCAGCTATAAGTATCACCCCAAAAAATCTTTATTGGTTATGTGGCCCTAAGATCTGGTTATGTAGGGTCTAACTGGAGATGGTGTGGGCCCCAATCCTGCAGATCAGAGCCCTGAGAGGTGGCTCAGGGCCTGATCCAGTCTGAGGGCTGCCCCTGAGCCACTCATTTGGCCAATGCCAGCAAAAAGTTAAGCACTACTGCCTTAAAGCAAAGCCCAACCTCAAAAAGTCCTGTGGGAATTTTAATACCAGTTGAGCAGAAATAATTTCAGGAGTAGCATCCAAAAAGTTGCACGATACATGTAGGCAGGAGTTTTCTTATTTCTTGGTCTCCTGTGTTCCCCTCTTTATTTTTTACATCTTTTTTTTTCTTTTGAGATCAAAGCCTGCTCTTTTACCCTTTTTTGACCGATCTGTTTTTGGTAGGTTTTGCTTCTGACATTCTATTCTTTCTATTGCTCTTGATCTGCCTTATCCCATGTATGTAGAGTGTTTTATAATCAAGTTAGGTTCCATAAAAGAACAATACAAAAAAGGCCTAGTTCATATTTTCCTGCCATTATTTATAGATATGTGTCAATTGTGTAACTTTCTTCTAAACAGATATTTGAAATTGTTTCTGATAAATATTAAGCAGTTGCGTAACTGAGAAACTTCACAAAAACAGTTCTATGCCAACATCCAGTGGAGAAGAGGAGGGGTTGCACTTGCCAAGTCATGTGTCCCTAGCAGCAGGAAGCTATTCTGAATTAAGAACATTATTTTTAAAAGTTGTGAGGGATGGATGGTTGGATGGTGGCCACTTTCTGGAGCATGTCTATCTGGCTGAAAAACAGACAGCATTCCTAATTGTGGGCTAGAATGGTACTGCAGTCTCTGGGAGACATGACAACTTTCTTAGTTAATGAATCAGATGCATTCGCAAAGCTTTTTGGTCTTACTCTGCAATGCTGTCTCTGGTTAATGTATAGTATTGCTGCACTACACAAATTCAGTCTTGTAAAACCAATTGTCTGGCTACATTGGCTATACGATCAAATATGAACATTGTCCCTCATTGTTTTGGTCTGTGGTTCAAATTCTTCTTTGCTGACTGTGAAGATGGGACCGACTTAATCACCTCTGTGTGTGCGTGTGTGTACACGCTTGCAGACTAGTGAGTTCTTATTGTATGCTCCTATCGTTGTAGAGCCAATACAGCAGTGAGATTAGAGCTGGATTCCATTAGTTAACGTGTGCATCACCAGAATTGCTCAGCATGTTCCAGTATCAGGGACTCCTTATGACTGGTGATGGGTGAGCCTGAAAGAACACAGCTTGACTTGTACATCCCAGGGTGAGTTTGCTGAGCCGGCATCTCAAGACTTTGTATGGTAAACTGAGCAAATGCATTCTGAAACTGGGACAGATATGGAGTTCACTATAAAGTATCTGCTTAATTTTATCTAGCACAGCATAATATGTTTTAATCTCTACTTTTTTTTAGGATTACTTTGAGAAGTCCAATGTTTGCAAATATACCAATAATGGATTGGCTTAATCCATTGTATACAGTGCTGTTAATTGATATTTGATTTCTTGGTTGAAAACTGAACAGGTGATACGTTTCCTTATTGTCCTTGGCAAAATGTCAGAACTGTTTAAAACAACCTACATGCATTGAAGCTACCATGGTCAGAATTATTGTACTAGCCTTATACAGTTCACTCTGAGGTGAAAGTCTTCTCAGTGTTGA